CGCTCGGCGGCTAACAGCGTTCCAATTTGGGACAGTTCGACAGTGCACAGTTCGAATTAGAACAGTTCGATTTTGTCCTTGTTCTGTTTTGATACTTGTTCGAGAAAGACACTGTTCTCATTTGAATCAGTTCGACTTTAGGTCTGTTCGATTTTGAAAACGTTCGAATTCGTCGTACCCCCAAAATTATTTTTTCTACCGTAGTTTAAAGGAGCATAGTTAAAATTTGTATATTGAGTATCGACGCGAAACAAAATTTTCCTGCATTTCAAAGGTTTTTAGCGAATTTTTAGGTTGAAAATTATTTTTTTTTAGTTACGAATTTTTATTTTTTCAACTTTCCGACACATTTTTCGCCTGGATTTCCCTCAAAAAAGGCTAAAAATCAATTTTTTACGAAAAATACGTACCTTAAAGGCCCATAACTTACAATAGTCTAAGTGGTCCCGCAGCGCTCATCTTTTGTATGCGTTTTGTACTCCTCTCGGACAAGACTGTTTTTATTAATTTTTATAGATTTTCGGTCGATTTTCATCAGAATTTCTTGATTTCTTCCGATTTTCTTCAGTTTTTTCCCTTTTTATGAGATGGCCGTGGCCTAGAAATCCCCTTTTTCTCTTCCACCGGCCGGTGACTTGGCATGCAGCCAATTTAATAAAAAACAACGAAAAATAGGTTTTTCTCAATTTTTTTGCAATTTTCAGGTATAAAATGGATGCGGATAGTTTAGACGAGTCGTCAGTTAGAAGATCTTATAGGTAATTTTTGAAAAAATCAATTTTTAAATAAAAATTCTGATTTTTCAGATTAAAAGACAAGCCAGCTCGAGAATATGCGTACAAAAATTTTCTAAGGGTATGGGAATTGAAAAATTTGAATTTTTGGACCAAAATTGATGAATTCGCGATTTTTGGAGCAGAAAATTCATAATTTTTGGATTTTTTCTAAAAAATCATTTTCCGAATTTTTGAATTTTTCAGAAAGACTACATTCCGCCGGCAGTGGTAAAAGTCAATCAGAAGTACGACGAATTGTTCTCCAGTGTCGTTTCAAACGCATTTATGATGGATATTCAAAAAACGCCTGATCAGTACTATGTTAGTGGAGTTTTTACCAGAAAAAATGGATTTTTAGCTAGAAAATTGCTGAAAAATCGCTGAAAAACGACAGGAATTGGTCCAAAAATGTCCAAAATGACCCAAAAACGATCGAAAATGGCTAAAAATTTATCTAAAATGGTCCAAACTGGTCTAAAAACACTGCAAATTATCAAGGCTAAAAATCTGGAAAATAGGTTCAAAAATTGATCAAAATTGCTCCAAAATGCCGAAAAATCGCATAAAATTGCTGAAAATTGCTGAAAATAGCTGAAAATAGGTCAAAAATTTGCTAACAATGCTTCAAAAATCAAATTTCAAAAAAATTTTGAAATTTAGGCCTCAAAAATGCCATTTTTTCCTATTTTTAAAGCTGAAAATCCTCTTAAAATAGCTCGAAACTGCGCAAACAGGCTTAGAACAGGTACAAAATGCACTAAAAATGTGTCGAAACCACCCTTAAAATTGCTGAAAATAGTATAAAAATGGTCCAAAACGGCTCAAAATAGCTCGAAAATGGTCTAAAAATGCTTTTTAATTGTCAAAAATGGAATTTTCAGCCATAATTTTGACATTTTGGACCTCAAAATGTGCTTTTGGACCCTTTTTCGCCTTCAAAATCTCTATATCTGACCATTAAATTTCCAAAAATTCGATTTTTTGGACCCTAAAATTGCCTTTTTTTTTGGACTCTAAAATTTTGGACCCTAAAATCGCCATTTTTTAGGCAGAAAAAGCCGCTCAACAGCTCCAAAACCCCCCAGAATCGGATTCAGATTCAGAAGACGTCATTCAACTGGACGACTCTTCTGAAGACGTCATCGAAGTCGACGTCCTGGAATCGCGGCTTACAGATATCAAAAAACAACTAAAGGAGACGAAAAAATCAGTGAAAGCCATCCGAAGAAAACAGAGATATGCCGAGAAGGCGGCGGCGAGAATCGCGGCGGATCTTCTCAAATTTTCCAAAAAATCCGTTGTTAAAGAACTGAAAATGAGGAATTCTGAATCGACGTCATCGTCGACGTCGTCAGACATTGAGATTCTGGAAACGGTGCCAATGGAACATCCGTGTAGTTGTGGACAAGTTTTCGAGGATCATATGGAGTGTCATAGACACATTTTTGAGGAGGTTAGGGGTGGAATTTCGGGGAAAAATTGACAAAAAAATTCGTGGAAAATCGTTAAAACGGGGACAAATTGGCTGAAAAAACTGAAAAAATCGTTAAAATTGACTTAAAATTGGCCAAAAATGGTCCAAATTGGTCAAGTAGGCTCATGGAAGCCTAGAATCCCGAATTGTCGAAAAGTTAGGCCATGACATTTATATATTTTGGAGAGCCCTTGTTTTGAGAAATCCATACCACTTTTTAGATTCCAAAAATCTCTATTTTGAAGCGACTTACAGCCATTTGAACCGATATGGCCTAGTTTTGGGTTTCTAGGCCATCAATTTCAAATGGCTGTAGCTCACTTCAAAGTAGAGATTTTTGAATTCTGAAAACTGGAATGGATTTCCCAAACACGAGCTTTCCAAACATAATCATTATGGTGGCCTAACTTTTTCGAAAAATTGGATATCTAGGCCATCAACCTTAAATAGCTGTAACTTGGGCGAAAATTGTCCGAAATTGGCTTAAACCTGATAGAATATGCCCTAATAATACAAATACTTAAAACTTTCCATTTTTGCAACCTTGATGGGTGGCCTAGAAATCCAAATTTTGCAAAAGTTAGGCCATGGTATTTATATATTTTGGAAAGCTCTTGTTTTGAGAAATCCATATCACTTTTTAGATTCAAAAAATCTCTATTTTGGAGTTAGAGTCATTTGAACTAGCGAGTTAGAGTCATTTGAACCAATATGGCCTAGTTTTGGGTTTCTAGGCCACCATGTTCAAATGACTGTAACTCGCTTCGAAAGAGAGATATTTGAATTTTTAAGACTGATACGAATTCCTCAAAACAAGGGCTTTCCAAAAAGTATAAATACCATGGCCTAACTTTTTCAAAAATTTGGGTTTCTAGACTCTATAAAAAATCTAAATTTTAATGTCAAAATAATGAAAAAATAGAACATTGAACCCAAAAAATAGACTCCAATAAACTGGAAAATTCGAAATGTTTCTAAATTGTTCCTAATCGAAAAATACGCTTATTTTCCTGAAAAAAAAACAGAAATCTAATTGTTGCTGTGAAAAATTCGACAAAATTTCCAGAAAATTGCAATTTTAAATCGCAAAAATGTATTTTTAGGTGCCAAAAAAATAACGGAAAAATCGACAAAAAAACTGAAAATTTTTGAGAAATTTGAACCAAAAATCCGCAATTTTTTAAAAATTCAAATTATAAAAAATCGGACGAAAAACTGGAAATTCTGAAATTTGGGCTCTAAAAATCCGAGATTTTAAGTCTGAAAACGAAAATTTGTTGTAAAAACTTGGATTTTTATCGACCGAAAAAATTGAAAAATTCGAGTATTTCAAACTGGAAACCGGAAAAAAACACCGAAATTCCTAAAAAAATAAAAATCCAATAATTCTGAAAACCCTCAATTTTTGAGCCTAAAAAATGGAAATTTTCAAAAAAAAATTCGAAATCGTTATCACTGGTTTTATGATAAAAAACTGTCTCCGAAATGTCAGTTTCAATGAGAGACAGAGAGAAAAGGGGGCGGAGCCTATCGAAAAATCGCAAAAATTACTCGGAAAATCGAGATTTTAAGCTTAAAAATTTCGTGAAAAATGCTTAAAAAATGGTTGAAAATTGTTGAAAATTGCTTAAAATAATGGAAAATCAGGCTAAAAATCACACAAAATGGCTGAAAATTGCTGAAAATTAAGCCATAATGGTTTTAAAATGGTCTAAAATTGATTTTGAAGAATAAAAATGTTCAAAAAGTCATAAATTCAAAAATTCCAAACATTCAAAAAATTCAAATTTTTAAAAATTCAAAAATCCAAAAAATCAGGATTTCAAAGAAATCAAAAATTCAGAAAATTCAAAAATTCTAGTATTCAGATAAGTCGAAAATTCCAAAAATTAAAAAATCCAAAAACTCCGGAAATTAAAAAAAAATTTCAAAATTTTAAAAATTACAAAATCCGAAAATTCGAAATTTCAAAATTTCAAAAATTCCAAAAATTCAAAATTTCAGAAAATTCAAAATTCCAGAAATTAGGAAAATCTGAAAATTTCAAAATTTCAAAAACCACTTAAAATGTCTGAAAATCGCTTTAAAATGCCAAATTATCTATTGATTTCCCCCATGCATTGCAAATAAATATATTATTATTATTATTAAAATAGCTAAAATAACCCCAAAATCTCTCAAAACCCTTAAACTCGAATTTCCTTCCAGCACGCCGACAACGACGTCACCGGCGACTGCGTCCACTGTGGTCATCGTCGAGAGCAGATTTTCGCTGGAAACGGATGTTATATTTGCTATAAATTCGCTCCAAATCTCGACGAACACTTGGCTGGACACTATAGGAATTGCACGGCAAAACACGCGGTTATGGAGTGCAGATTTTGTCCGAAACAGTTTAAAAGTGAGCGTTTTGGGGGGGGGGGGGGGGTTAAAATTGGTTGAAAATGGTGTAAAATTACCAAAAAATGACGAAAAAACGATCGAAATTAAGGCTTCCATTCGGTCGGGAAGTTTAGCCGACCGACCGACCACCGACCTCGCCGCCCGACAGCCGACCGAACTGACCGATCGGTCGGCGCGCCGCCCGTTTTCGTGCATTTGCGCGTCAACGTGTTTGCATACGCTGCATTGTATTTTACGACAAACTACTCACTAAAAGCCTCGTTTGTCGTAAAATAAAGTGCTTCGTACGCAAAAAATCGTGTTTTTATGCGCAAAGGCACGAAATCGGTCAGCTCGGTCGGCTGTCGGTCGGCTGGGTCGGTGGTCGGTCGGCGGTCGGCGATTTTCGACCGACCGAAACAAAAGCCTTAATCGAAATGACCTAAAAATAGCCAAAAATGGTCCAAAAACGATAGAAATGGCCCTCGGAGGTTGATGGCCTAGAAACCCATTTTTTTAAAAAGTTAGGCCATGGTACTTATATTTTTTGGGAAGCTCTTGTTTCAAGGAGTTCATTAAAGTTTTCAGATTTTAAAAATCTCCACTTTGAAGCGAGTTACAGCCTTTTGAATCAATATGGCCTAGTTTTGGTTTTCTAGGCCACCAAGTGCAAATGGCTGTAACTCGCTTCAAAATGAAAATGTCTAAAAACTGAAAACTGATATGGATTTCTCAAAACGAGAGCTTTTTAAAAAATATAAATACCATGGCCTAACTTTTTCGAAAATTTGGATTTCTAGGCCACCAACTTTATCTAACTGTAACGTGGCCGAAAATCATCCAAAATGACCTTGAAATAGCTCAAAGTAGCTTAAACATGGTAGAATACGCCCTAACAAAACAAAAAAACCTA